ATATATATATATATATATATATATATATATATATATATATACTTTTGCTTTCTCTTTCCTTAATCCTTCCCTGTCTAGCTTGTACTAACCTGAACAATATGTGAAACTTTGTATTACGAGCACTTCTTGTTTATTTGCCTCTTTATGATTAATCGCTTGTTGTTTTCCTCAATTGTAAGTTGCTTTGGATAAAAGTGTCTGCTAAATGAATAAATGTAAATGTATCATATCATGAGATCAACATTGCAACTCATGACGCAAGTATATGGTTACACCCCTAGTAGTGACTGGTCTCAAGTACAGTGTTTTTAAAGTTTGAAACAGTGGCTTGAGTACAGTATTTTTAAAGTTTGTCTTAAATCTACATGAATAATCCCAATTTTAGCCATGTCAGTGCTTGACTTCTTTCTCAATAGGATTCAAAAATACGTGCTGCTCATGCTTTACACATCTTATGAACGTGTAGCCTATATGTTTATTTACATCTTACAAAATGGTCCATAGAGAACACTGCATATTTGCTACACATTTGCTAGTAAAAAGCTTTTCTTTCTTGTAGTGGCTTTTTCTGTTTCTGAACGCATGAACAAGCATTGCACATTTGCTGAATAAATGTAATGCAGAAGTAAATCGCATATGAACGTAAACGGAATCTAAAAGTGAATTGGATTCATTCATATTGACGAAATCTACTGCATGTAATCATACCGATTATAGAAATTTAATAAGTCATGGTTAATTTATTCTGTGAATTAGTGTCCAATTAATTAATTTATTAGATTTCTTTAAATGAGCAATCAAAGTGTTCACATGCATTTGACATTGATTATATTTAACACCATGTTGCACTTTGTCCCAACCAGGCGTGACGTTTCCAAGTACAAGTAATTTAGTTGTCCAAAATGAAAGCGAAAGTGCTGCACATCCAACACAATTACAGCCAATCAGAACATATTTAAAGTAGGCCTGGGCAGTAAAACAATAACTATAATTATCGCAATATAATTTTCCTCGATAAAGCGATAACAAGAGTTCGATAAATGTTTGATATAATGGTTACAGTATTTGTTTTATGATTAAGCTATTTGTGCATTTATGTTTAATGTATTTAGACTACTGTTTTTTCATACAAATACCTAGAAACCATATAGTTATTACCATGTTATTTTTAGTACCATACCATACATAGTTATTTTTACCATGGTATGGAGGTGCTATATGTGGCTTTAACTGTGATTATCATCTTCTAAATGTATGCTACTATGGAAGACCAATGGTTAATTTGAATAAAACTCAAAGAGTCAGAACATAAAATATAAAAATGAGGTTGTTACAATTTTTACAGATGTTAATGTTTCTGATAATGAACATAAATTTACATCTACATCTTAACCCAAGCTACTGTGCATTTCTAAGAGACAAAAAAAGTAATATTATTAATATTACAGCCTAGAGCCTACACTGCAAACTGTGCTGAAGATAGGCAACACAAACCTGTTTCATGATTTGAAACAATAACACTCATTAGAACATGCAGAAACTACGATTTTTTTTTTTTTAAATATATTTATTTTGTTTAGGAAAAATGACTGTAAAAGTGTAAAGAATTAAAAAACCTGAAGTTCGTCATGTTCAGACCATAAAGAGTCGTTTAACACCACAATTAACAGTCTGGTTTTTACAACTTTCACTTTTCAAACAGTTCAAACAGTTCTTACCTGTAATGTACATGTGTGACTGTTGGATCTCTGTAACCAAATATCCATGTCTGAATGTCCATGGGTCTTGCATTAGGGTAGGCTATGGTCACATCTATTACCCACTGTAGTCCTTTTGCTTTGTTACCTGAAGGTGGGCAGACACAGAAACTTCAGCCAGAGAAAAACTGTACAAATGTTAAGTTCAAGGCCAATTCACAACTATAATGAAATGAAAAAGCACTAGTCAAACTCTTCACATCCAAACACATACTTGATACTTATGGCAGCGGGGAGACAATAACAAGTTGCATGCAAAAGCTCTCAATAGCGGGTCATATAGAACTGTCATTTTTTACTTTTTTTTTTTTTTTTTAGGGTCTAACATCTCCTTTTGTGTTCCACAGAAGAAAGTCAGTCAAACTGGTTTGTTTTCACACACTGCAATGATGCATTTCCTTTAGTTATTAACACCATAAAGCATAACACCATATTTCGGTGTATGTCTCTTTAAATGATAATAAGCTACTGCTCAGCCCACCTCTCTCTGCTGTTTTTTTTTTTTTTTTGGTGAATAAATAAATAAATAAAAGGAGCGAATGGATTTGTATCATTGTAGGGTGGTTGTGTCCACACACTGCTAAGACACATTTATATGCAAACACCATGTAAAAGTTAATTTTACATCCAATGTCCCCTTTAAGAAAGCTGTGTGTAATTATGGTCCACCAGACACCGATTAGACATGTTTCTTAGGAGACGTTCAAATAAGATGTGTTCATGTGCTCAAAAACAGCTGTATGGGGAATGACAGAATGGAACAGAACATACAGTTTTAAAAGTTGAACTATATTTAACTTGACACATTGTCTGTAAAATGCTGTGGGATGTCTAATATAAAATCCAACCAAAACAACAGCATGAGAATTTACGCCACTGGCTGTTTATTAATTAAAGAAATAGTGCAGACAGAATTCAAGAACACACATGCTTTCAATAGGATAACTAACAAATTAAAAATAATCATAAATAAATAAATAAATACAAACATCAAATATCCACCTATCAAATATCTTTTATATACCAGTGTTGTTACAGTTAACTAAAATGGAAATAAAACAAATTTGCAGTGAAACTGAAATAAAATATTAACTGAAAAAATTTTTTTTTTTAGGTTGAAGTACTAAAACTATAGACCAATTACCGGTTTGTAAACATTCAGGATGCGCGCGCATCATGGTTGCAGAAAACCCAGGAGATAGCCTTTACAGCTAGAGAATTTCACGGATACGGTACAAAATAGTTAGGTTTAAAAAGATTATAAATTATATTGATTAGATGTCATTTTCAAAATGTTCTACGCATATTACAAGAGCTTGTCACACAGCGATAAGCAGTGTTATTCAACGAAATTGACGTTAGAGAGTGCGATAGTCTTACAGA